GTGACTCGATCTCCTTCTCCCTTGGTTCCTCAGACTTCAGGGCTGCCAATAAGGTGTCTTCTTCTCTGCTTACCACCTTGGCAAATTGGATGGCTGACACCACCCGTGACCCAACTCTAGACCCTCTCCTCAATGGTACTAGGCATTGGCACTGTGCATCCAAGATGCAAACACAATCAGTAAAAGGCACAAAAAGGGCATTAATCCGAACAAGGAAATCTAACCCAATCTCATAGTCGTTAAGGGGTATTACCTCTATGGTTTCCTTGCCTTTCCAGTCTCCAAGCTACAACTCCACTCCCCGTGCTACTCCAATGGCTGGAACCTCCTTGGAGTTCACCATTTTAATGGTACCAGTCCATTTCTGCACCTTCAGTCTGAGCTTCTAGGCTCCATCACCTGAAATAAAAAGATGTGAGGCACCTGTGTCCACCAGTGCGCTCACCTTCTGACCTACAACCATCAGATCCATAAACATCAAGCCCTTTGGCTTGCAGCTCCCCTTACTCTAGACAACATTGAGCACCAATGACCCAAGCTTTACTGCCCTTGACTTTGGCTCCTTGTCAAACTCTTTGTCTATAGCAGCCAGCTTGCCCTTTTGTGGGTAATTACACACTATGTGGCTCCCTCCACATAGGTAGCATGCTAGTGGCTCTCGGTCCCCCTTTGCTTTCCACTTGCTTATTGGTGGCTTCCTCTCACCATCCTTGGTTGAACGATCTCGGTCCCAATCCTTGGACCCCCGATCATGGTCTTTCCCCTTGGACTATTTTTTTTGGTCCCTATCGTCCCTGCCCTTACCCTTGGGCTTGGAAGACTCGAACTTGTTCAGAGGCTTGAACTCTATCAAGGCCTCAGCAGTAGTCATGGATTTAGCCAAGTCATGAACTCCCCTCCGTTGTAACTCATGCTTCACCCATGGCTTCAACCCATCCATGAAAGCAAATAAGGCATCCTTCTCGCCTAGATCCGAGATCTATAGCATCAGTTCAAAGAATTTCTGGATGTACTCCCTTATGTCCCCTTACTGGCTCAGCCTGCGTAACTTTGCTCGCACCTCATCATCGGCATACTCTGGGTAAAATTGCTCTCTAAACTCTTTTTGGAACTCTGCCCTGGTTTCAATCTTGGCACTCTCACACCTGACATCATCACACCTGTGCCTCCACTACAATAAGGCTACATCAGTGAGATACATCACAGCGATGCTTACCTTTATCGCCTCATCTTGCATGTCCATGGCCTGGAAGTACTGCTCCATACCCTATAGGTCGTTGTTTACCTTCTTGGCCGCCCTAGTCCCTTGAACTCCTTAGGCTTGGGGACATCCAATCTGGACTTGGACACTCCAACAAACACGCCATTCCCAATGCTAGTCTTATAAGTAACGAGCTCACTGGCAAGCTCCTCCATCCGTTGGCGCATGGCCTCCATGCCATCGTGCAAGGTCAGCATTTCAGCCTCCAAGGCCTCATTCATTCGGGTGATCATGCCCATGCCTTTGTTGAGAGTAGCTTACAGCTCACCTTGGATCTCTTCCCCTATGGAGTCTAGTGATGCAATCTGAGCCTCGACCACCATTGGTGCATGCATGCCTCAATTAGCATGTGCAAAACTTTGAATCAATGCAGGCACCTACCTTGATCAGCATAGGCAAAAGATGGCCCTTGGTGTGGGCACATGCCTTGACCACCATTGGCACCTGCTCACCCTCGATGTGGGATATGCCTGTTTGGAAAAAATGTCCCCTTTTTAGACACTTTAAGGTCTATTGGTAGCATATCTACAAAATCTCTAATGCTCTTTAGAGAGTGGTGGTCCGGCACCTCCTCTCCCCCCCACGGGGGGAGTAGTTATGCGTGATGGGCTTCCCATTGCGTACACCCAGGGTAATGTCCCTCGAGTGAAATACAGGGCATACATGCCTTTCAACCATTTTATCTGATGATTGGTTGCTCCAGTGATCGGCAGGCGCCCATGGCCTCAATCGGTTGGCGTCGCATGCAAAAAAAAAAGTAGAGCTTGATGCTCCCTAGACCCTAGACCAAGTCCCTGAATCAGGCAATGGCTTCCTGGGGTGGTGTGACCAGAAGCTGCGATTGTGGGCATGGCTCGACCAAGTCTTTCGGTATTTGACAATCTCGCAGTCCCTTCTCATCGACCACAAAAATGCCTTGGCCTTGACGAGGCCGTGCACACAGCCGATGCTGCCAAAGACCCTAGGAACAAGTCCTTTGAATCAAGCAACGTCCCCCTGAAGTGGTGTCAGCGGAGCTCGCGCATGCGGTCTTGGCCAGGCCAAGCATTGGTGGTATCGCGCCGTTGTTGCCTGTCGGATGGCAGGGGTAGACTCATGGCCCTTGCTTGTGTTTTTCTTGTGCCAAGCGATTGTGGCACGGCCTCGCACGTCGTTTCGTCCGCTCGCTCATCGAGTAATCAATCGGGTGGGTTGTGGACCAGCGCACGTAGATGCTGCCACTTGTACACAATGGGCATATTAGTGGTGCTATGGTTGTACGTGTTGGCAGGCTTCGTGCTCGATGCATCAAACTGTCGACCCGTCATCCTCTTTAATCTCCCCCCATGCGGTCGTTGTATCTCGGGGGTGCGATCGAGATCCTGTGCTACATACCCGAATCGATGAAAACTAGATGTCTTGCCATCCCTCATCCGTCTCGTGTCCTGAGGGGCTACGGGTCAGACGTCAATCGTGGCCGGTGTCGCAAGCATGCCACCTAATCCTCCGTGGCCGTATTGGTGCATCGGTGTTCAATTTTTCTCTTGGATGCGAAATGTTTAGCGGGCATGGGCTCTCGACCCCCATTTGTCCGATGCTATGCATTTCACGTGCTCGACACGTACGATACTTGCAGTCCGCATTAGGCTCTCTCTGTCGCTCGGTCAGTACGTCGAGGCCCACGCGGTGCCCAACCCTGACTTCTAGAAGGGATGCATTTATTAGATAAAAGGTTGACACGGGCTATGCCCGTTGCTCTAATGATTCAAGATAACTCGACGGATCACACGACCTTTGTGCTGGTGACGCATCATTCAAATTTTTGCCCTATCAACTTTCAATGGTAGGATAGTGGCCTACTATGGTGGTGACGGGTGACGAAGAATTAGGGTTCAATTTCGAAGAAGGAGCCTTAGAAATGGCTACCACATCCAAGGAAGGCAGCAGGCGCATAAATTACCCAATCCTGACATAAGGAGGTAGTGACAATAAATAACAATACTGGGCTCTATAAGTCTATTAGTTGGAATGAGTACAACCTAAATTCCTTAACGAGGATCCATTAGAGGGCAAGTCTGGTGCCAGTAGCCATGGTAATTCCAACTCCAATAGCGTATATTTAAATTGTTGCAATTAAAAAGCTCGTAGTTGGAACTAGGGTTGGGTCATCCAGTCTGCCTCATGGTGAGCATCGATCTACTCATCCCTACTGCCAGTTATGCTCTCCTGGACTTAATTACCTGAGTCGTTTCTCTTGCACTGTTACTTTGAAGAAATTAGAGTGCTAAAAGCAGGCTTATGCTTGTATACATTAACATGGGATAACATCATAGGATTTTGGTCCTATTGTGTTGGCCTTCGGATCGGAGTAATGATTAACAGGGACAGTTGGGGGCATTCGTATTTCATAGTTAGAGGTGAAATTCTTAGATTTATGAAAGACGAACAACTACGAAAGCATTTGCCAAGGATGTTTTCATTAATCAAGAACGAAAGTTGGGGGCTCAAAAATGATCAGATATCGTCCTAGTCTCAACCATAAACGATGTTGACCAGGGATGGCGGATCTTACTTTTAGGACTCCGTTGGCACTTTATGAGAAATCAAAGTCTTTGGGTTTCGAGGGGAGTATGGTCACAAGGCTGAAACTTAAAGGAATTGATGGAAGGGCACCACCAGGAGTGGAGCCTACGACTTAATTTGACTCAACACGGGGAAACTTACCAGTTCCAAACATAGTAAGGATTGACAGACTGAGAGCTCTTTCTTGATTCTATGGGTGGTGGTGCATGGTTGGTGGAGCAATTTGTCTAGTTAATTTCGTTAATGAACCAGACCTCAACCTGGTAACTAGCTACGCAGAGGTGATCCTTCGTGGCTAGCTTCTTAGAGAGACTATGGCCGCTTAGGCCAAGGAAGTTTGAGGCAATAACAGGTCTGTGATACCCTTAGAGATTCTGGGCCGCACACGCGCTACATTGATGTATTCAACAAGTCTATAGCCTTGGCTGATAGGCCCGGGTAATCTTTGAAAGTTCATTATGATGGGGATAGATCATCGTAATTGTTGGTCTTCAACGAGGAATTCCTAGTAAGTGTGAGTCATCAGCTTACGTTGACTATGTCCCTGCTATTTATACACACCGTCTGTCGCTCCTACCGATTGAATGGTCCGGTAAAAAGTTCAGATCGTGATGACTTGGACGGTTCACCGCTAGGGATGTATCGAGAAGTCCATTCAACCTTATCATTTAGAGGAAGGAAAAGTCGTAATAAGGTTTTTGTAGGTGAACCTGCAGAAGGATCATTGTCAAAACCCCACTCGACGGATGACCCGCGAACGCGTTAACGAAACACCGAGGGGTGAGGGTCCCCCCGTGCATCGAGCCCCTTTCGACCTTGGACGGGCGTAACTGTCGCTTCGTGCCCCCTATCGGGCGAGTGAAACGATCGGCATTGTCTCGCTCACTGTTGAACAATGAATCCCCAGCATGAATCGTGCCAAGGAATCGAAACGAAAATGGAGCGTGCGCACCATCACCATCTCATTCGTGGTGCGTGCATGGGCGGTGTTGCGCTTCTTTTTGTCATGAAAAAATGAAACAACTCTCAACAATGGATATCTCAGCTCTCGCATCAATGAAGAATGTAGTGAAATGCGATACTTGGTGTGAATTGTATAATCCTATGAACCATCAAGTCTTTGAACACAAGTTCACCTAAGCCATTAGGCTGAGGGCACGCCTACCTGGGTGTCATGCACCGTCGCCCCCTCTCGACTCCTCGCCCATCGGGCTCCGGGGGAAGGGGGTGGACGGAAGATGGCCTCTCATGATCTCGTCGATTGTGGTTGGCCCAAAAGTGAGTCCCCGGTAATGACAGCACCATGACCGTTGGTGGTAGAGCTCTCGGTGTGCCTTGTCCCTGGTAACGCACCCTCATTGTCCACTCGAACCTTGTCAGACCCCCCACATCTCTCGATCGATGCTCATGGCGTGACTCTAGGTCAGACGGGATCACCCACTGAGTTTAAGCATATCAATAAGTGGAGGAAAAGAAACGTACCAGGATTCCCCTAGTAATGACAAACAAACCAAGAAGAGCCCAGCTTGAGAATCGGGTGCCTCCGGTGATCGAATTGTAGTCTAGAGAAGTGTCCTCAATGGTAGATCAGGCCCAAGTCCCCTGAAAAAGGGCACCGAATAGAGTGAGAGTCCCATTGTGCCCAGACCCTGTGGCACCATGAGGCACTATTCGTGAGTCGAGTTGTTCAGGAATGTAGCCCCAATCGGGCGGTAAATTTCATCCAAGGGTGAATACAGGCGAGAGACCGATAGCGAACAAGTACCGTGAGGGAAAGATGAAAAGGGCTTTGAAAAGAGAGTCAAAGAGTACTTTAAATTGTTAGGAGGGAAGCGGATGGGGGCTGGTTATGCGCCCTGGTGGGATGTGGAACGGCGAGAGCCGATCCGTCGATCGACTCGGGGTATGGACCGACGAGGGTCACGTTGGAGGCCCACACCCGGGCTTTCGATGTGCCTGCGGAGACGTCATCATCACCATCGTGGAATGCAACACGTGCCATCTCGACATGCCTTGGCACTCGTGTGCTCCTTGTGTCAACCTACGGGCTCCCCATCTGGCGCATCTTGAAACCCAGACTAAAGAGTCTAACATGCGTGCGAGTCAACAAGCCAGGAAACCCGTAAGGTGCCAGGAAGTTAATTGGTGGGATCCCTCATGGGTGCACCGCTGATCAACCTTGATCTTCTGAGAAGGGTTTGAGTGCGAGTATACCCGTCGGGACCCAAAAGATGGTGAACTATGCCTGAACAGGGTGAAACTAGAGGAAACTATGGTAGAGGCCCATAGCGATACTGACGTTCAAATCGTTCATTTGACTTGGGTATAGGGGCGAAAGACTAATCCAACCATCTAGTAGCTGGTTCCCTCCAAAGTTTCCCTTAGGATAGCTGAAGCCCTCGACAAGTTTTATCAGGTAAAGCCAATGATTAGAGGCATTGGGGGTGCAACGGCCTCAACCTATTCTCAAACTTTAAATAGGTAGGACAACGCAGCTGCTTCGTTGAGCCACGCCACGGAATCAAAAACTTCAAGTGGGCCATTTTTGGTAATTAGAACTGGTGATGCAGGATGAACCAAAAGTTGGGTTACAGTGCCCAACTGTGCACTAACCCAAAACCCATAAAGGGTGTTGGTCGATTATGATAGCAAGATGGTGGTCATGGAAGTCAAAATCCGTTAAGGAGTGTGTAACAACTCACCTGCCGAATCAGCTAGCCCCAAAAATGGATGGCGCTTAAGTGCGCGACCTATACCCGATCGTCGGGGCAAGGGCCAGGCCTCGATGAGTAAGAGGGCATGACGATCGTCGTAAAATTTGGGGTGTGAGCCTGGGCGGAATGACTGTCGGTGCAAATCTTGGTGGTAGTAGCAAATATTCAAATGAGAACTTTGAAGGCCGAAGAGGGGAAATGTTCCATGTGAACGGCACTTGCACATGGGTTAGTCGATCCTAAGATACGGGGGAAGCCCATTCGAAAGTGCATCCCGTGTGAGCTTCGAAAGGGAATCAGGTTAAAATTCTTGAATCGAGATGCGGTGGCTGACAGCAACGTTAGGGAGTTCGGAGACGTTGACGGGGACCTCAGGCAGAGTTATCTTTTCTGTTTAATAGCCCACCCACCCTGGAAATGGCTCAACCTGAGGTAAGGTCCAGCGATTGAAAGAGCATCGCATGTTGCGTGGTGTCTGACACGCCCCTGGCGGCCCTTGAAAATCTCGAGGACCAGTGCCGTCCACACCCGATCATTCTCATAACCGCATCAGGTCTCCAAGGTGAACAGCCTTTGGTTGATGGAACAATGTAGGCAAGGGAAGTCGATAAAATGGATCCATAACCTCAAGAAAAGGATTGGTTCTGAGGACTGGGCACGGGGGTCCCAATTTTGAACCTGTCAGCTGCAGGTGCACTGCTCAAGCTACTCCCACGGTGAGAGTGGGTCGTCTCGTGCCAGTCGAGGGATGGACTGGGAACGGCTCCCTCAGGGGCCTTCCCTGGGTGACGAACAGTCAACTCAAAACTGGTACGAACAAGGGGAATCTGACTGTTTAATTAAAATAAAGCATTGTGATCATCCCTACGGATGCTCACACAATGTGATTTCTACCCAGTGCTCTGAATGTCAAAGTGAAGAAATTCAACTAGGTACGGGTAAACGATGGGAGTAACTATGACTCTCTTAAGGTAGCCAAATGCCTCATCATCTAATTAGTGACGTGCATGAATAGATTAACAAGATTCTCACTATCCCGTCTACTATCCAGTGAAACCACAGCCAAAGGAACGGGCTTGGCAAAATCAGCGGGGAAAGAAGACCCTGTTGAGCTTGACTCTAGTTCGACTTTGTGGAATGACTTGAGAGGTGTAGGATAAGTGGGAGACCTCGGGCAAAATTGAAATACCACTACTTTTAACGTTATTTTACTTATTCCATGAATCAGAGGTAGGGCATAACCCCTTCTTTTAGACCCAAGGCCGACCTCGATTAATCATTTCGGGCAAAAGACATTACCAGGTGGGGAGTTTGGCTGGAGCAGCACATCTGTTAAAAGATAATGCAGGTGTCCTAAGATGATTTCAACGAGAACAGAAATCTCATGTGGAATAAAAAGGTAAAAGCTCATTTGTTTTTGATTTCTAGTACGAATATGAATCATGAAAACGTGGCCTATCGATCCTTTAGACCTTCAAGATTTGAAGCTAGAAGTGTCAAAAAAGTTAGCGCAAGGATAACTGGCTTGTGGCAGCCAAGCGTTCATAGCGATGTTGCTTTTTGCTACTTCGATGTCGACTCTTCCTATCATTGTGAAGTAGAATTCACCAAGTATTGGATTGTTCACCCACCAATAGGGAACATGAGCTGGGTTTAGACCGTCGTGAGACAGGTTAGTTTTACCCTACTGATGGTGACATCACGATAGTAATTCAACCTAGTACGAGAAGAACCGTTGATTCACACAATTGGTCATCACGCTCGATTGAAAAGTTAGTGGCGCAAAGCTATCGTGTGTTGGATTATGACTGAATGCCTTTAATTCAAAATTTGGGCTAGAAGCAACGTGCGTGCCTACCGCCTGATTGCTGACCCATAGTAGGGGCCCATAGCCCCCAAGGGCACGTGTCATAGGTGTAGCCCCCATGGCAGATGAGCCACATGGGCCTCCTTGGAGCTTAATTCCCACCGAACGATAGGTAAAATCCTTTGCAGATGACTTAAATACATGATGGGGTATTGTAAGTGGCAGAGTGGCCTTTCTTCCATGATCCACTAAGATTCAGGCCTTTGTCACTTTAATTCATCCTTCCCCCCTCCCTCTCCCCTTCCCCTGCAGATCTTTCTTCTTTTTGCACCGACCCCCTTTGGGGTTGGGCATGACCCAGGGCCCTCCATCCCTCGATCCCAATCGAGAATGAACTCTGTATGCTGAAGTCAACCTACAAAAAAAGTGTGCGGGTACTAAGCTGGCCAGAGAGGCAGAATACGTAAGCTGAGGATCGGTCGGGTCCCCCTCTACATGCTGCCGATCTTATTATGGTTCCTACTGCCACAAGCCTCAGTCCGGTAGGAGCTTAGACTGGGAATGAACTCTGTATGCCTAAGTCAACCTATGAAACAAACGTGCGGGCACTAAGCCGGCCAGAGAGGTAGAATAAATAGGCTGAAGATCGATAGGGTCCCCCTCTGTATGCTACAGATCTTGTAGGCTTTCTATACGGCTCTGGTTTAGCCCCTCCCTGGGACCACCTGGATGCGGTGTAGGCATGTTGTGGGCCTGGTCCTAGTGCTGCGGATAGGCCAGACTTCTGGGCGGGCTCTGGATAGCAATAGCAATGACTATTGCTGGAACACCCGCCTCTGCGTACGGTGCTCGAACCTTGGTCGCTGGGGCGAGGGCCTCAATTCCTGGTGTGCATGCCTAAGGTGTGACACTGGCACTTGGTACGGGCTGCTGCCTTGGACACCCTTGGTCTGACCGCATGCCCGCACCTCAATCATCAATGCCTGCACGTCGGTCTGGCTGTGTGCTCGTGCACCGCTCACTAACACCTGCACCTGGGCCTGGCTAAATTCTATCAAACCAACACCGTGTCTAAGCCCCTAGAGTCTTGATTACTGTACGCACTACTATCCTGATCCAGTTCCCCATGAGCTACACCTCGAGTAGGCCTCAAGGCCTGGTCCCCCTCAGCTGTCGGACCTTATCCCATTACAACCCTAGGGCCAATCTCGGCTTGCTTGCTGACCGTGACACATGCACATGCCTCGACCACCATTGAGCCATGTTGGCCCTTGGTCTTGGCACATCTTCGACCACCATCGATGCATGTTGGACCCTGGTGCGGGTAGTTCCCTTGAACAGCATCAGCCCGTGCTGGGTTACGCACCAAGTGGCCATACCTGGGCTCGGGCCGTACACCCTGCACACCGCGATCGGGCAGTAGGTGGGTTCAGGGATATCTTGATGTTTCTATAGTGCCAAAGCCATTTTTCTGATCCATGAATTCATATGAGCGCTCCCCAACACTCGCGCACCACACACGGGTGTCTTAAGCTCGGACCAAGCACAAATGATCACCACGACCAGGTGGCAGGTGGGTTCAGGAACATTTTCATATTTCTACCATGCCAATGCCATTTTTATGGCCTGTGAATTCATATGAGCACTTTTCAGTGCCCGCACACCACTCATGGGTGTCTTGAGCCCGGGCCAAGCACATGCGCGCCACTATCGGGTGGTAGGTGGGTTTAGGCACATCTTCATATTTCTACCACGCCAATGAAATTTTTATGGCTTTTAAATTCATAAAATGGTCCCCCAAGCCTGCATGTGAAGTTTCATGGCAAGATGACTCTTTTTTTATTTTTCATGATTTTTGAAATTTTTTATGGTTCGAAATTTTTTAAAATTTTTTTAGTAGGATTTTTGCCCCAAATTTGGTAGATCTGATCCTTGTATTTTTTTTGCCATGCAAAAAAAAAATTCAGCTAAAAACTCAAAGTGTAGAAGATTTTATGGCCATTTGAAAAATGTGTCCCCATTTTAAACACTTGAATGGTTACTGGCAGCAAACCTGTAAAATCTCATATGCTTTTTACAAGGGTGTGGGTTGTCGAGGTTTGTTGAGTGATAGGGGGTCAATATAAGGGCCAAGTACAAGCACTTATTGCACATCATGTGCGCACACCCCCCGACCCTCAATCGTCGAAACCTCTAATACTGTCGGTCAAGTTCTCCTGTGATGCTCTGGTGATGGGGCCTCGAGAAAAAAAATACGGCACCAGCACATGCCCTAGCCCAGCATGTGCATCGTGGCTCAAAATCAAATTCAAGCAAGGCCTCGACCATCAACGGCACATGATGCCGCATGGTGATGGCACATGCATCGACCATCATCGACACAAGTAGCCCTTCGGTACAGGCACTTGCCTCGATCACCATCGACACAAGCTAGCCCTTGGTGAGGGTGGTTGCCTCGATGAGCATCGGCAAAAGATGGCCCTTGGTGAGGGCGGTTGCCTCGAGCACCATCGACATGTGTTGGGCTTTGGTGCGGGCACATGCCTCAACCATCATCATCACAAGCTGGCCATTGGTATGGGCACTTGCCTGGACCACCATCGGCATGTGCCATGCCTCAATCAACATTGATAGAAAATGGTCCTTAGTGTGTGCGATTGCCTCAAACACTATCGGCACATGTTGGGCCTTGGTGCGAACGGTTGCCTCGAGCATCATCAGCACAAGCTAGCTCTTAGTACGGGCACTTACCTCGACCACCATCGGTAGAAGATGGCCCTTGGTGTGGGCGGTTACGTCGAACACCATCGGCA